TATTTTTGGTTTATGACACAACAAAAACTTTCCTAAGCCGCAGGTAGAGATTTGGATTTTATTTTTCTGGGGAGGGTCCCCATCATCGGTGTCTTTTTCAAAGCTCCCCAGTTTATTCTCCTTCCAGGCTAGGTTGAGAACCATTGTTCTCAATGAGTGGTTCTGAACCAGGAGGAATCTCCCAAACCTTCCAGCCTGCTATGGTACAATGGCTGGGAGCCATTTCTGGTCGTCAAAATCGGGAGCAGGAGATACTACTGGCTTCTTATGTGTAGATGTCTTGGATGCTGCTAAACATACAGTAAACAGGATAGCACCCGCCCCATATCCCCCAAGACACACCACAGAATTAATCTGCCTCAAACTGGTAATAGTGCTGAGGTTGACAACCCCTGCTCTAGAGCTTTTACGACCTCTCTGAGAAAACATAAGGGAAGGAAGAGAAAAAGGGGCGGAACACAGCGGCAACCCTTGGCTTCCCCAGGTTCTGGCTAGCGGGCGTAGGACGTGTGCGCCTGCGCGAATGCGCACTCGCCACTGGCGTACGCGACGCGTGCGTGCCAGTGCACGTCGGCGAGAGCGCGCCCGCAGTGAGTGCGCCTGCGCACGCCGCCATTTCTTGCAGCCGCGAATTCAGTCGCAGCGCCCGCCGGGAAAATGCAAAACGAAATGGCCGCCGGCGGCGAGCTCGGCCTCGGTGGGGTTTCTCATGAGGCCGTGCCCGCGCCGGCCGCCAGAGGGCGCCCAAGGATCACGAATGGGTCCGAGGCGCTGGCTGCCCGGTCTTAGGCGCAAGGTCTGCAGCCGCGGCCAGAGTGGCCTTGGGGTGACCGCGCGTGGACCGTCGCCAGCGGGAGGAAGTGCGGTTCCGCGAGGGACTGAACGGGGCTCCTGTGGCCTGAGATTGTTTCTTAGGGAGCCCTGGCGGCCATGGGCTCTGGGACACGGGACACGGGTCGTCAGAGCTGTCCAGTGGAAGCGGGTGTAGAAGTGTGAACAGGGAGGGCAGCTGGACCCTCCAGCCACGCTGGGTCCTCGGGCTGACTGGGCTGGGCTGGGGGGGGTCAGTGAGGAGGGGTTTCCTTCCCTAGAAGTTTGATGACGGAGCGCCATGGGCGTGGCATTATCCTGTCATCCTGCAGGGCAGTGGAGACTTACTTTCCCTAGGTTACTGCCGGGGTCTCACCCGCAGACCCAGGCTTCCACTACGGATGAATAATATACACTGACACAGATATCTTACCTGTTAGTCCTACTAAGGTACTCTGCTCCTTAGTCTACAGCGTCGCCTCGATTGGCAAAGTTCGCATTTATTTAGTACAGATTAAATGACAGAGGTCGTGAGTAAACACTACTAGAGGGTAATTAACATTGCTGAACCCCTGAGTAGAGAGCAATCATGCACCTGCGGGTGGTTAAAGGTTAGTCTTGGGACCACATGAGTAAAGAAACTATTTAGATAGACTACTTTGCCTTCCTTTGTTATTTGCTTTTCCGCTATCAACTTAAAGAGAATAGGCTGCCTTCAGCCAGATCTTTTACTGAAACTATGCAACCCCCCTGGCTTTCCAAGAAGGTTTGCGATTATTTTCTATAACTTTACAATTTCTCCCACCATCCTGACTGAACCCCCCACAGGTTACAACACAATTTCAACTGTCCCAGACTGTAGGGACTCTGCTGTATTCTACCTTGGGCTACTCCATCACACTATAAGGGAGAGAGGGTATGGTATGTGGTTGAGAGCCTGGACTCTGGTTCTTTGGGTTCCAATCCAAGCTCTGTCACTTACAAGCTCCGTGGCCTTGGGCATCTTACTCATCTCCTCTGTGCCTCAGGTTCCTCTCGTGTAGAATAGTGGTAATCTTACTTCCTACCATATAGGGTTGTTGAAACGGCTAAATGAGTTTGTATGTGTAAAGCATATAGGACATTTAAACTTGCGAGCTAAGTGAAGTAATACCAGAGTAATACCTCCTCTCTCTGGAAAGATGACTTTGTCAGCTTTATTGGCTTGATTTCATTTGACAAGACACACTATCTCATCTCCTTCCTACTAAATTTTTGTCATCAAATTTTAGATCTAGAACATGCTGTTTTCCTCATTATGTTGCCAGCACGGGCTTCTGAATTTTATGTTTTTTTCTGCATGAGGATCAGGTGAAGTTTAGGTACCACATTTCCTCACTACTGGCAAGGTTGTTCGCCAATGGAGGAGTCTAGCGGAGGTAGTACAAGAGTGGAAGTATCAGCTGGGTGCAGTGGCTCAGGCCTGCCTGTAATCCTATACTTTGAGAGGCAGAGGCGGGAAGACCACTTGAGTTCTGGGGATTGAGAACAGTGTGAGGAACATAGTGAGACCTCATTTCTACAAATATTTATATATAGATTAAATATATGTAATATATATGTATATATATCATATATATATATATATATATATATACAAATAGATTATATATATATATATGTTTTTGAAACAGTGTTTTGCTTCTGTCGCCCAAGGCTGGAGTGCAATGGAGTGATCTCAGCTTACTGCAGCCTCTGCCTCCCAGGCTCAAGTGATTCTCCTGCCTTAACCTCCCAAGTAGCTGGAACTACAGGCACACCCCACTGGACCTGGCTAATTTTTGTATTTTTTGTAGAGATGAATTTTTGCCGTGTTTCCCAGGTTGGTCTCAAACTCCTGACCTCAACTGATCCACCCCCTCTGCCTCCCAAAGTACTGAGATTACAGGCGTGAACCACTATGCCAGGAGTACAATTTTTTTTTTGTCAAGAATGGAAGTGTGTAGAGTTAGGAACTGACAGTGGCTGTACTAGGCTACTGGATCTTTGGTCCAGTTACATTCAGAAGGAAATGCTTCAGAGAAATTAATCCCAAATCCAAGCCCCATTGGTCACTATCCCGTGTTACCTTGCCTATCTTTAACCACTTGACTTCCAGGCAGTTCATGAGGGGCTCAGACAGGATAGCTGGGAAGTCACTCCCCTGGATGTTACATTGTCCAGCAGAGCTTCCTGTGAATGTTTGCCTAAGATTTTCTTTTTATGACCCACGTAGGTCATATCTCCTAAAATCATAGTGGCCCTGCCACAGGCCTAGGAACGAAGATGCCTTGTTTATCCATTTGTCCTTGTGTCACAGTGGAGCCCAAATTTCCCTTTGTGGAGAATCCTGGCTTTATCCACAAACTTGATGGGGGCAACCTCTACTAGAGTATTTCTACAGAGTACATGGGACAGGGCGAGACTCTGATAAAATCCATAGTAAAGCTAGCTCAGGGCTATCACTGTAGGGAGATGAGCTCTTCAGGCCTTGTATGTTTGTCTTTGGCTCAAGCAAGCATGTCACTGGCAGAGGTAAAGTGGGTGTGTCAGGGCAGCCTCCTGGCAACCCTGGGACTGGTGTTACCTGTGCAAACCACTGTTGGCATCTACATGGGCTGCAGCACACCCTAAGGGTGGAAGCTGCACAGAGAAGCACAGGCCCCATGGGAGGGCTCCCCACAGTTACTGTGTGGCAGCACACTCACTTGCCTGCAGTTCTGCCTGCTGCAGCTGGAGGTGGCAGTTGGCTTGCTGTCCCTGCTGGAGAATTTTAGTTCCCCACCTCCACCTGAGGCTGAAGAATCACATTGCTTTCAGGGCATAATTTCCAAAAAGTGTGGCCAATGTTTGCCTTGTATTTCCAGCTTGAAGGCTGTGAGTCTGCATAGACAAAGTTAACTCCTATATATAAAGAGTCCCAGGGTAGTTGGTAGTGTGTTCTTGTCCCGGGAAGCCCCCACTAGCTATTGAAGGCAAGCTGATGATATCGGGAAAGTTACATTCAGAGTGATCTAGGATTGAGGTGATGGTGAACTAGATTTTCATTCTGAAATGCTGGGCTCACGCTCTTAGTAACCCAACTTGGTGTTTGCCCCTGGCCTAGTAGACTCGGGAAGCAGTACCTTGCACCTCAGGGTGGGGCTGGTGGTGGAAGGGGTATGCAAGTGGAAAATCAACTAGCAGCCTGTTTCCCATGGTACCCAGCCTTGAGAGTGCAGTGCAAGCATGGGGTGAGGCCAGGGAAGACCCCTGCGGAGCTTGATGCCTGAGACATCTGGGGAAGCCCTGCCCTTTTTGCTGGATTCAGGGGTGGCAAAAGCCAAAAATTGGAAGGCCGGGTGCAGTGGTACATGCCTGCAATCCCTGCAGTTTGGGAGGCCAAGGTGGGAGGATTGCTTGAGACCAGCCTGGGCAACTTGGTGAAACCCCATCTCTACAAAAATTAAAATAATAAATAAATAAATAATTAGCTGGATGTGGTAGTGTGGACCTGTAGTCTCAGCTACTTGGGAGACTGATACAGGAGGATGACTTCAGCCTGGGAGGCAGAGGTTACAGTGAGCCGAGATGGTGCCACTGCAGTCCAGCCTGGGCCACAGAGTGAGACTCTGCCTCCAAACAACAATCACAAAGGCATCAGAGGTGGCCGGGTGCAGTGGCTCTTGCCTGTAACCCCAGCACTTTGGGACGCTGAGGCGGGTGGATCACAAGATCAAGAGATCGAGACCATCCTGGCCAACATAGTGAAACCTTGTCTCTACTAAAAATACAAACATTAGCTGGGCGTGGTGGTGGGCACGTGTAATCCCAGCTGCTTGGGAGGCTGAGGCAGGAGAATCGCTTGAATCTGGGAGGCGGAGATTGCAGTGAGCCGAGATCACGCCACTTGCACTCCAGCCTGGTGACAGAGCAAGACTCTGTCAAAAAAAAAAAAAAAAAAAAAGGCATCGGAGGCTTCGGCTTCGTCTATTACACCTGGAGGCCTTTTCAGTGAAAACAGAGCAGTGGTGGGCTCCTACCAAGGAGGAGACTGTCTGCTCTCTGGAATGGGGGCTGTGCCTGGCTCCTCCCTCCAAGTCCACAGGAGGTTATAGCCAGCCTGCATGCTGCGGCGGAGCCAGGGTTAGTCTCAGAGCACTTGCCGCATAAGGGTGCTTATTCTTCCTCAGTGTCTTAGCTGATTATGAGGAGAAGAATGTGGCCGCCAAGGCCAGAGAGGCCTGGCAGGAGAGCCCTGGAGCCCCAGGAGGTGGCCAAGGAGACCCAGCTGTACGCACTCAGCAACCTACAGATCTCAGCACCCCAGAGTGGCAGAGCAGCCCCAGTGGATGTGAGCAACTCGTTGGACAAGAGAGCTGCGCCAGCAGGTAAGGGCTGAGCTGCACTGGGCTCTGCCTCTAGGGCTGGTGTTTTTATTGATGTCTACAACCCGGGGAGGAACCAGTTCCTCACACCTCGTACCAGGACCCGACACATTGTGCACCCAGGTGGTGCCTGGGCTCCTGTTCTGTGAGTGGGTCATGGTGGTGATTCCCTGGGAGTAGAGCACTATCCTTGGGCTTCCTGTGGCTCAAGGAGCTTGGAGGGGACTGTGATAGGAGGATGTGTCTGTCCCCAGGTGTGAGAAGTCCAGGCTAATTCCCAATGCATGGGACAGGAAGGAAGGCTGTCTCCCAGAGTCCAGATGCTCTACAGGGGGCGTCCTGGGAAGGGTGAGGGCTATTTGTGTGGGTAAAATGATGTTGTCAGAGAAGGACAGAGTGTGAAAGAGCAAAAAAGAGGGTAAAAGTGCAAAAGAGTGACAGAGTGAAGCAGAGAGAGAGAGAGAGAGAGGCCAGAAGGAGAGAAAGGGAGCACATGTGAGGAGGCATGAGAGAGTGAGTGATGCAGGATGCGGTGGCCATGTGCAGGTGTGTGCGGGTGTGTGCAGGAGGACAAGTGTGCCTGTGCCTGGAGCTGACCATGTGGCACTGGTGTGAGAGTTTCAACTGAGGCTCTCTTGAATGCATCTCACCTACCAGTGCCAACACTACACGTCCATAAAACTCTGGACATGTCACCAGGCCAGTGATTCTGAGGGTGGAAAGCGAACAGTTTCTTACACAAGATAGAAATGTAGAAGGAGACAGCCAAGACTCACATTGCCCCAAGAGAGAGGAGTTGGTGGAGTCCAGCAGCACATCTGCTGGGGGGAGCAGGTGGGCCTGGGGCTCCTTTTGCAGGGATGAAATAAACACGGTCATCCACCTTCTTTGTTCTGGGACTTCTTGTACCACAGAGGTTCCATAATTACTAATAGTTAGACAGGAGGTTATTTTTAGGGCCTGGCTCAACTGTTAGATAACAAGTTTTGCCTTCTAAGAATATCTAACCATCTTTGATTCCTTGGCCCCAGGCCCTGGAGGGGCCCAGTCCAGAGACACGGAGTGAACAACTTTGGTTTTTCAGACGGAGTGTCAGGAAAGGCTTTCTTTACAGGAAGACTGCCTTAATGGAAGTAGGTTGGGGCAGTGAGAAAGGCTGTAGTTGGATTATAATGGATTGAGGAGGGAGTGGAAGATAAGGAGGTGCAGTTGGTGGGGTACACAACTCTCTGAAATTAGCCATGATGTGATGGATGTGGGAGGGGTGTGTAGATAATTACCGCTACAAGATAATGGAGATGGTTTCCTTTAGGTGAAAGCAATGTGTGCATGTTAGGTAAGATCTCAGCAGAGGGTGCCTATGTCACCAGTCCCCAATAAAATCGTTGGACTCTGAGTCTAATGAATTGCCCTGCTCGGCAGCACTTCACACATGTTGTCACAAGTCACTGCTGAGGGGAACTGAGGGCATCCTGTGTGACCCACTGGGAAAGGACTCTGGAAGCTTGTTCCTGGGTTTCCCCATAAATTTGCCTTAATACTTTTTTCCCTTTGCTGATTTTGCTTCGTATCCTTTCACTATAATAAACCATGGCCTTGAGTATGACAATTGTGCTGTGTCCTGTGAGCTGTCCTTGTGAATCACCAAACCCAGTGACGGGCTTGGGGACCCCTGACACAGATGGGCAGGATTGGAACTTCATGCCATAACAAGGATTTTAGATATTCCTTCAAGGGCCAAGAGGAACCAGGAAGGTTTGAAGCAGGGAATGATCCAGTGAGAGTTTTGCTTTGCAGTGGGCTCTTCAGTAGCGTGAGAAGAGTGGACTGAAGTGGGCAGAGTGGAGGCAGGGAGAATAGGAAGTGGCTACAGAATCCTCCACATAAGAAATTATGGGGCTGGACTAGGGTCCTAACTGTGGAGATGGAGATAGAGAAAAGTGTAAAATAAGAAGACTGGATTCCAAATGGGATGACAGATAAGACTTGGGAGGGCAGTGAGAGAGAGGGAAGTGACAATTGAAAAAGCCACATTTCTGGTCTAGTGACTGAGTGGAGTATGTGACCCCTCCTGGCTTGGGGGTGGCCAAAGTATCTCTAACCTGCCACTATGCTACCTGCAGCAGACTGAGCAAATGCCTGGTCCATGGAGATCCCAAGCTAACAAGGGCACCTTCAGGTGGAGGCCCTGCCTAGGCTGGCCTGGCTGCATTGCCCTGGCACACTGTGCTGTGTTTCCGAGGTGGACAGCAGCACTCTGCAAGCACCCTTCTCCTCTTCCTCTTAGTGGTCTAAATCCTTAGCATGCTGGAGTGCAACTGTGGACAAATCCCCTTTCCAGGCCTGCTGAGTTCTCTCTTTGCAGTCTTCGGGTCTAGTTGCTGGCATGGCATCCCAGTAGGCTAGGTTCATCAGGAGGGGTCAACCATGTTATGCCACCTGATGGGCAGCATTCGGAGTCTATGGACCAGGGGCTTAAGGGCTGCTTACTGCTCATAATTCTAAGTAGCAAGCGTTCCCTCATCCCTAGTCTGAGCACACACCAGGAAGGAAGCCACTAGATGTGCTTTCCTAGTGGGTAACTAGCCTGGGGTTCCAAGAAGGGCAGAGACAGACAGAGTGAGAGCCTTTAGAGATGTAGGCAATGACAGTAGCAGAACTTCAAGAAAGAGTAGATGGAAAAATAGAAAAAAAATCCTCGTCATTACTTTTAAATGTCTGAATTGACCAGGTTCAAATCCTGGAGAGTCTAGACTCTAGGGAGTTCTCATGGGTAGGCTAGTTATTATTTCATATGGGGGTCCAGTAGGTATCACCCAGCACAAGAGGACCAGAGGGCAGTCAGTGCTAAGGATAAAACCTGAGGCCATGGGAGATTGAGTTTTTCATCAATTTGGCAAGCTTTCACTTTAATACTCCATTGGTTCCATCATTTCAGATGACTGGGGATGATAAGGACAATGTAATTTGGGGGATAAAGGAAGAACTCATTATATTTCTTGAATGATTTTACTAAGGAAATGGATTCCTTAGTCATTTGAAAAAAGCGGTAGAATTCCCCATGTGGGAAAATAAATGCTTGTTCTAACAAAAGCTTAGTGACATTGGTGGCAATGTTCCTTTTATAAAAGGGAAAGCGTCAAGCCAGCGAGAAAAACATAAATATCCTAGTAAGAACATATTTATAACCATGAGATTTGGGTGCAGAATAAAATGAAATTGGCAGTTAAAGAAAGGTCCTAAACATCTGTATATTCACAATATTCCATTGGTGAGCAATGTGAATTTCCAGTGCAAAACCGCTGGCCTAGAATATGCTGGATACAAATCAAAGAAGCAAAATTGCAATGAAGTTAACGTTTTAAAAAAATAATTGACATAATGACTGATAACCTTGTATTGTTCTTGTCTAATATAAGGTAAAGCAGCACTGGGGCTGTGATAAAGAGCAATATCTCATGTGCACTGAGGACACAGAAAACCCACTAGGAATTCTATGGAATCTCTAGAATATTTATATTACGAACATTTTGCCCATTATAGACTACCTTAGGAAAGATTCTGTTTTTTTTCTTTTTTTTTTCTTTTTTGAGATGGAGTTTTGCTCTTGTTGCCCAGGCTGGAGTGCAAAGGCATGATCTCGGCTCACTGCAACCTCTGCCTCCAGGGTTCAAGTGATTCTCCTGCTTCAGCCTCCTGAGCAGCTGGGACTACAGGCATGCACCACCATGCCTGGCTAGTTTTGTACTTTCAGTAGAGACAGGGTTTCTCCATGTTGGTCAGGCTGGTCTCGAACTCCTGACCTCAGGTGATCTGCCCACCTCGGCCCCCCAAAGTGCTAGGATTACAGGTGTGAGCCACCACACCTGGTCCGAAGATTCTGCATTTTTAAAAATTTGACAATGCTTCCAATGCGATTTATATAATATTAAATAAGACTAATTCATTTTTGCACCTTTCTTGTTACAAGGTGAAGGAACTTGGAGATTTTTCCAGAAAGTCCCTGGAAAATCCCAAAGTCAGTTTTAGGTGTAAAATATATTTAAGATTTAACTGTGGGAAGGCAGATGTTAAGAGCTGTCAGGAGTTCTTGAACATTTGATTGAATAGGATTATGGGTTAGTGAAAATAATACTTGGTTAGTGAATTAGAGTTATAAAAATTTTAAAGAACCTTCATTTCGTTTAAAATTGAAAAGACTTAAAAAACAATTAAGGACATAATAAAGTCAACATACAGATAGGGCATTACAGTATTTTGATAAGACATAAAATCTTTGACATTTAGGCAGACTACTCAGAAGAAAAACAGAACATTTATGACTTTTTATTAGGGACAGACCAATGATCAAGATTTTTTTTTTTTTTTTTTTTTTTTTTTTTTTTTTTTTTTGACGGACAGAGTCTTGCTCTGTTGTCCAGGCTGGAGTGCAGTGGCATAATCTGGGCTCACTGCAACTTCCCCCTCCTGGGTTCCAGCAATTCTCCTGCCTCAGCCTCCTGAGTACCTGGGAGGCTACAAGGAGGTCTGTGCCACCACTCCCAGCTAATATTTGTATTTTTGATAGAGACAGGGTTTCACCATTTTGTCCAGGCTGACCTTTCAAACTCCTGACCTCAGGTCATCTGCTCACTTCAGCTTCCCAAAGTGCTGGGATTACAAGCATAAGCCACTGTGCCCAGCTTAAGAAAACTTTGTTATTTTAACAGAGAAATCAACATTTTAATTTTTATACAAGTATAATATTTGATATTAGTTCTTTTTTGAAAATCTTATAAATACACTGAATAAATACTAGGCAGTTTTAACCATGACAAACAAAATTCCTTTTCTGTGAACATTTGCTAATTTCAAAGACATATGTTTACATTTTGACTTATACCTTTTAAAATTATTTGTCATTTTAATTTAGGACAAAGCTATTCTCTTTTTCCTTAAGAAAAGCATATTTGCATACCTTGCATACAAAGTTGTTTTCCTTTGCCATTATTACTTTTAGCAGT